GTGACGTTTAAAATCAGCGAGTACACGTTAAGAAATATTTTGTCGAGACGCTATATAGGGGATGATTTATAATGTTTTATGCTTATACAGGCGTTAATTCGCAAGAATGTCATTCAGGTTGATCGATTACCCTTGAAGCGACAAGGAATGTGATGTTTACCCCTAAATACCTAAAATGTAACACCTCTATGTGCCGCCGTAAGGACGTGTGTCTATATATATACATAGATCCTATAAGGACCGGCGCCTAATATTTATCCTTTTTGCATATGCACCAGTTACTGAACGAATTTAAGAACATACAGTATAAACTCTTTATAACGTCACTCGATTTAACGACAAACTCCTTAAAACGTCGAAATTACTTGACTTGGTTTGGTTTACATTGTTTTCTATACAATATTACACTCTATATAGCGTCACGCTCACTCTATTTAAAGACAACAATGCGGCATTATAAATAATTGAGCAGTACTTTCTAAGTTGCCGAAATAGATAAGATCTGCAGCTGTGTACGTTGTTGAAGAAGACGATCCTGTCCCTCCACCAAGCATCAAACAAGCACTTGATGCAGCGAAACTATTAAAAAAATACTTTTTATATAATCAAATTGATCCAGCAGTATCTCAAGATATGAGTAAGATACGTAACAAAATACAATTAAAATATTGGAACAGCAAAAAACATCAGACGAAGATAACAGGCTATACGCAATGTATGAATAATAATGTTCGTGTGCAAAATGTGTACTATATTGGTAAATACATATTATTATAGAATAGTAAAATAATATCTTTTATTTCTCCCCATTTAACGACCACTCTTTATAACGCCGAAAAATGTTCAGTCCCTTGAGTCGTTATATAGAGTTTAGACTGTATTTAGATTTTCAAAAATTTTTAAATTTTTACTATTTTTTAACCCTTTAAAGTGCAGTTCCTTCATAAAAAATATAGTGTTAGATAATTTAGACTTTTTGACTTTACTTTCAGTTCTACCAGAGACCCCGAACATGAGGAAATTTACCTCGTCCGATTCATCGAATTTAAATTAAGGAATGTCACCTTCATTTCCGTGTTTAACAAAAAAAAAAGTATGGCAGCAGCCGCCCGGTTGCCAAAATCGAACCAGATGCTGCAGAAACTTTATATTTCGATCAATTAGTCGTATCTAGCAACTTCGGCAACTTCGTAAAGTTTGCATCGCGCTGTTAACGAAAATTAGGTTGATATTTAATTATACAATCATTATCTCGTTATAAGTGTGGCGATATCGATTTGACACCAATGCTACACCAACCCCCAGAAAGTTCGCCGACGAGGCAAAAATCAAACTCGAATTTACCGTTGCACACTTTTTGTGAAACTTAAAAGATTAATGTAGAAACGGAGAAAATCCAGAAACAATTTCTAAAAGTTCAACAACAACATAATACAAAACACAAAGGCTAAGTAATTTATATAAGTTTCCGAGATAAAAATGTTCAGTCTCTCAGAGTCTCTGAAAGCGAGACTCGAGTCTCCGTCTCTCATGGAGTCTCTCTGGTGTCGCTGAGAGAGACTGTCGAGAGACTGTCAAAAAACCGTTTAGCGTGTCTGAACGAGAGACTCAAGTCGCTCATGGAGAGATCCTCATTGCGTATCCAGTCTCTGAACGAGAGACTCGAATCTCTGAACGAGAGACTCGAATCTCTCAAAGTGGTGTCTCAATAGACATGGTTAAAATCTTCTAAGTTCAACTTATTTCAGAGATCCCAGTCTTTCTACGAGAGACTCAATTTTTCAGTTTTATTCATTCAGTCTCTTTGTGAGAGACTCGAATCTCTGTATTAACAATTTTATCGTTCGAGTATCTCATACAGAGACTGTGAGAGATCTATAAAAACACCTAGGCAACAACTGAGAGACTATGAAAAATTGTGATAGACGATCTGAGAGACGCTGAGAGACTCTGAGAGACTGGAGAGAGACTGAAATTTTTTGTCTAGGGCATACCCTTAACTATCTGCGAACAGTAATCTAATCTGGGTCTACCTCTACCCCTCCTAACTTCCGCGTCTGCCTCTAATATGTCTTTGACTAGACCTTCATGCCTGAGATGTTCTACCAACCTATCTCGCCTATTTCTTGTCCAGTCTCTGAACGAGAGACTCGAATCTCTCAATAAGCGGTAGATGGTTAAAACTTTTTTTTTTTGAAGTTCAACATATTCCAGAGATCCCGGTCTTTCTACGAGAGACTCGAGTCTCTCAATTTTTTAGTTTTATTCATTGAGTCTCTCTGTGAGAGACTCGAATCTCTGAATTAACAATTTTATCGTTCGAGTCTCTCACACAGAGACTGTGAGAGATCCATAAAAACACCTAGACAATAACTGAGAGACTGTAAAAGACTGTGAGAGACGCTCTTAGAGACCCTGAAAGACTCTGAGAGACTGGGGAGAGTCTAGCGTTATATAAACTATTAGCTACCCTCGTAGATAGAAACAGTTGTCGAGTTAATAGATAAATAGATTGGTGACACGGTCCATTTCAAAACAAAACCAAAGTACATCCAAGCAAGTTAATTGATATCAAAGAATTGCAAATGTATTGCCATCTATAGATTATTACTGCTAACTTAAAAACCATGACATACAACATCCGTAAAATTCAATCGTCTTGATTATACTTCAAACAATGTAACCTGCAATTCTTGGTTGTAGCTTATTGTTAATTTCAACGAGTGTTTCGTCCTTGTCATTGAGGACTAATTTCTAATTCATATGCGCATAAAGACAATTATGTACTGTAAGCACATATTTTACTGTTTTAGTTGTGTTAGTTCAAACCGTGTGTGTTTTATGATATTTGAAGAGTAAAAAGTTAAAGACGCTTTTTAGCAATTCTCTTAAAATTTCCGCTCCAACCGAACACACGCCGCTAAAAGCTTTTGTTGTAGAACAATATCGAAGAACATAAGTTGGATGAAGGACGCTGTCGTACCATTTGCAGTTAAACAAAATGAGACTACACTTTAAAAGCTTCTAAACAAGGGACAACGAAGCAACGTTACCTTACTTACATATTTTTGTATTAAGTAGATTGTTTTGTACAATGAAGTTTCTCGATTGGCATAAACTGGTATAAATGTTTTATTCTTTTGTTTTCTCGTTAACTACGTTTACATCAGAGTATCCCAAAACGGGGTGCACCTCCTGTAGTACCATTGGTCCATTAAAACGGCATTAAAGTGTACATAGAATCTCAAACATGTAAACGCTTACATTCTTCTCTTGCTGATGTCTTCGCTCCTTCAGTATCTGGTACCGAAGGTGTCTCAATACTACGAACATATCCAGTAGGAAAAATTTCCATTCTATTTCCATTAAAAAATGCCATTTAATTACCACTGATAATAATTAATGGTAATAAATGGAGAATTGCTAATGGGATGAATGGAATTCCCACTAGAATTCTCGAACTCAATGGGATTTCCATTGCCGAACGCAATGGGATTTCCCTTGCGTTCCATAGGAACTTCCATTCCTGAACTCAATGGAAATCCTAGTGTCAATTCTTTATTTTTTACTTTTAATTATTGCTAGGGGTAATTAAATGAAATTCTTTTTAATAAAGATGAAATATGAGGAAAATGTTAATTACATGACAATTATTATTCCAAATTATGTCTTGTTTATTAATTTTACAACTTGCTGTGACAATTTTTTAATAAATCTTAATCATCTCAAACCAGATCTTCTCCATTTTTATGTACCCAATTGATTTTCCATTTATATTGAATGGTTTTAAATAGAATTTATAAATTTTGCATTGGTGCCCATTGAAAATCAATGGAAATTTTTCCTATGTAAATATTAATGGAATTATTGTAAATGGAAACAATTATTTTTCCATTTATGCCAAATGGTTTTCAATGGAATTTACAAATTTTCCATTAATTCCCATTGAAAATCAATGGAAATTTTTCCTATGTAAATATTAATGGAATTATTAAACAATTATTTTTCCATTTACGCCAAATGGTTTTGAATGGAATTTACAAATTTTCCATTGATTCCCGTTGAAGTTCAATGGAAATTTTTCCTACGGGATACTCTCAAAAACCTCAATCAAAACTCAAAGAGCAATGAGATCCGCATGAAAAACAAAAACATGTTAGCGCCTACTTTCCTTTGTTATGAATCTACTCCCTCCTTGAACAGTCAGACTTCTGACAGTCTCTGCTCGCTGTATTGCAATGTTAAGTCTATTACTAAGGATACTCCTTTCTGAGAGTGGTCATCAGTACTGCGAGAACGTACTCTCACAAGTCTGGGGACTGAAGGAGGAAGTAGATCCACAAGAAAATAAAGTAGATGCGTGTCACTTTCAAAAATAAGAATCTCCTTAGGAACAGACTGATTATACAAGTGTTAATACTCCAAAGATTTTCGTCTTATTGGCGCAACTACGCGAAATACTCCTCAAACAGTAAATTTTTCTCTTATGAAAGTTTTACTATTATTCGAATGGCAGTTTTATTGATTTTTCATCCCTACACAACACGCGTTCCCAGCGTTTCATAATACCGCAGGCACATTGATCGAATTTTCATTTGTCAATGTCTCCAGCAGGAAGAAACGAACAGGTTCGCTGGCGCTACAAAAATTTCACATTACTTTCCCTTTGGCATCCATCTTCGGTAATATTTACAACGAATTAAATTGTTGTAATCGTAATTTCTTCATTATAAAACACCATTTTTGTAGTCTCTTCGTGAAGATGTTCGTCTTTAAATTTACTATTTAATTTTAAGCTTTTGTCGACACGATATTTCCTTTCGTTACTACAAATCTCTCTTCATATTTGATTAATGAGGATAATCGACTAATCGATCTGACAGATTCTGTTTGGTACATTAATACGTAGTTACAGTTTGCTAGTTTGCCAAAAACTACGTAGAATACCTTATGTAATACATTAAGGATTTTGTCTGACACAAACAAAAATCATCATCAAATGTCAATTGACAGTTCAAAATTCATTAAAAGATGAAAACCAAATTAACAGTGGTCTACATTAATACACCACGCAAGAAAATCCTAAAGCTTATTAACTGAAACTTCAAATGTGACAAATGGGAACAGATGCAGGAAAATGGAGGAAATCTGTAAGAAGGACGGGAAGTTTCGGTTCGATGACAGGAAGTTCTTTGATATTCCTTTTGAAACTGGCTTGGGAAAGTGGCAAAAGAATACCTCTATTGCTTGCAATCGGACTTGTGATATTGGCGGATGTTAGGAGACAGCAAAGAGGACAGCGCAATATAAACAGAATGAGAAGAGTTCTCGAACGAAGAAACAGACTGCAGGAACAGCGACAAAGGGACTCGGGTTCTGCCGATTTTTCCTGGCAAAGTGCCGCAGATCCAGATGCGTCTACCGAAAGCAATTCTTACATGTAGTAATTTACTAAGTCTTCCACTACAACTTTAATACAAATAATACAGAAATAATCATCTCTGTAGTACCTAATTGGTATTTAGTTTATAGTTTATTTATTTGTTTTCAAGTAGGTATTTAATATAAGCGAGTAAATTTTTTATCGAAGTTAATCAATTTTCATTGATTTACTATAACTTTTTACCACCAAGACTGCCAAGCTATTTCAAACTCAATAGTGCAAGATCTCAGAACTATAATACATTATCCATTTTCTGAGTAACGAAATGTTTTTTTTTCAATCAACCCTCTTTTTGGTTTATAATAATAAATCGAGCAACCAACAATTTATCGATAGCTATTTGCTGCTACTTAAAATATTATAAAATACAACAGTTAACAGTAAATATCTGTAGATGGCGATAGATTGCCGGCTATTTGCTATTAATGCACTAACTTGCTGGCAAGAAGTAACTTCCTTTAGTCAGAGATTTATAAATAGCAGCACGATCTACCACAACTCCTACTAGGTAAAAGAGGAGATTAAAGAGGGACTCTCGCCCTATCCTCCGGCTTTGCATTACATTTCGTGGTATCACCTTTAAATATAACATTTCGAACGAATGATTGAATGGGTCTGTAATTGTTTTCAGGAGGCGTACCGTCAATGGGTGTGCAGTTCACTGGTGCCTCATTTTGCCACGGGCGTCGACAGTGGCGCGTTCAAAAACGGCGCCCGGCGTCTACGTCCATGCCGCAGCGTTTGCCAGGCGGTTGAGCAGCGATGCCCGTACATGTTACCAGGCGATCGTGCGCCTGCACATCCTACTCAGTACGCCGGCGAGCCTACATTTCTTTGCCTAGGTAAGTCGCACGTCATTCTAATCGAAATTTATCACTTACAGGGGCGACGTTAACGTAGGGTTAACCGAAGCAGTGACCCAGGAGATCCCAGAACTCGATAAGTAGATCATTGCGAAATCATTTACCCCACGATGATTGATTGAAAGATTAATATATGAATATATAAAATGTCCTAATACAGTGTTAAAAGTCATTCCCGCCATTCACACACCTGAACATTCCAGAACATTCTTGATTCTTCCGGTCAACTTCAAATTCTCATCATCATAAGGTCGTCAGTCCCTAAGACTGGTTGGATACTCCACTCTTTCCTATACTGAGAAAATTTTCGCATTTCCCTAAAACTAGAACAGTCCACATCCTTAACTATTTGCGAACAGTAATCTAATCTGCGTCTATCTCTACCCCTCCTAACTCCCGTTTCTGCCTCTAATATGTCTCTGACTAGACCTTCATGCCTGAGAAGGTGTCCTACTATTCTATCTCTCCTATTTCTTATTGACTTCCATAGAGTCCTCTGTTCTCCTATTCTTTCTAACACCTCTTCATTTCTAACCTCTATTCACGGTATACTCATCATACGCCTGTAACGCCACATTTCGAACGCTTCTAATCTTTTCTTTTCCTCAGCGCCCAACGTCCATGTTACGCACCCGTACAGCGCCGCGCTCCAAACATACACCTTTAACAATCTTTTTCGCATTTCTAAAGTAACCGTTCGCGAGCATAGAAGTTCTTTTTATTGAAGGCGACACGACCCTGCGCTATTCTTTGCTTTATATCCTACTACTCCTTCCGTCCTGACTTATCTGACTTCCTAGATACCTAAAATAAGCCACTTCTCCTAATTTTTCGTCTCCTATCTTTACATTCGCTCTTTCCCTACTTTTTCTTCCCTTGCATACCAGTATTTTAGTTTTACTTTTATTTATTTTCATACAGTACTGTTTTGTCAGTACCGCTTACATTTTATTGAAAGCTATCTCTAACTCCTCCTTGCTAGATGCTAATACTGCTATATCATCTGCAAATCTAAGCATACTAATCTTTTGCCCCTGTATATCTATCCCTACAATTGTACTGTCTTTAATGATATTGATCGCTTCTTCGATGTATACATTTTTAAGTATATTTAACATCTTGTCCCATTTAATATTGTCAAAAGGTTTTTCCAAATCTACAAATCCTATGTACGCACTCCTTCCTTTTTCCTGTAAAGCTAGAATGACCTCTCTCGTTCCTCTATTTCTTCTAAACCCAAATTGAACATTCTACTTGAGAATAATCCTGGACGTTAAAGACCATTCCAATACATTTTCACTTAGTCCAACCTGGTTTTTAGTGACCGTTGTTCAACCTGTAGGCCCACACACTTACCAAGCTGGACTAATTTCGTGCAGTATAGGAGATTACAACATTTATTCGATAACTTAGCCCTTGCCGAACACTTTCAACCCCCATATTTACACACCTTTATAACTATCGACACACAACCACCATATTGCACGTTGGGAAGCTTGGAATTACAACCACCCAAAAACAATATCCAAAATACTAACGTAAGTAGAATTGAGAATCTCATTATAGTACATAGATCCAATCGCTCAATCAAAACAGAATTGATTGTAAGTCGAGCATCCGGGTCAGAAACAGAGATAAACGGGTTCGAAAGGCGTACGCGTTCGTTCCTGTGGGATTCCAGTCGTTTCCCGTGTAGCAAGGGCCATAATTCGCTCCGGGGATTTTGGGACCGGGGCGGCCAACAACCACGTCCAGCTAGTTCATTTGCAATCAACAATTCAGACGTTCGTTTTACAGGTCATACAATACCTAACGTTTGCTATTACTATTGTATCAAGCACAGATGCATCACTACATAACAACAAAACTGGCCGGAAACAATGATATTTTACCAATTCACATATCGCATACTGATCCTTGATTTCTTTGGATCACTTAGACAAATGCTGTTACATTAATATTCGTCGTCATTATCATCATAAGGTCGTCTATCCTAAGACTGGTTGGACACGCACCTCCACTCTTTTCTATGCTAATCTTCGCATTTCCCTAAAACTAGAACAACCCACATCCTTAACTATTTGCGAACAGTAATCTAATCTAGGTCTACCTCTACCCCTCCTAACTTCCGTTTCTGCCTCTAATATGTCTCTGACTAGACCTTCACGTCTGAGAAGGTGTCCTTCTAACCCATCTCGCCTATTTCTTATGGACTTCTATAGAGTTGTCTGTTCTCTTACTCTTTCTAATACCTCTTCATCATGTCTGAGAAGGTGTCCTACTAACTCATCTCGCCTATTTCTTATTGACTTCCATAGAGTCGTCTGTTCTCTTACTCTTTCTAATACCTCTTCATTTCTAACCTTCTCTATCTACGGTATCCTCATCATTGGCCTGTAACACCACATTTCGAACGCTTCTAACCTTTTCCGCCGCGCCCACTAACATTCGACATATAATCTAAAAGCATTTTCTTAATAAACATCTATACACAAATACACATGTCTACTAATTTTTAGTATCTCCTCCCGTTGAAATTCGACATGCATGTCGCTAAACCACTTGACAAAATGCAAATGGCTTCATTATTGACCTCAAATTGGTGCGATTCAACTAAATGTAAACTGATGGATGGATAAATAGCAAAAGCAATTGCGAATGAAATTTTAATACTGATCGAAATAATATTATCCGCGGCGAATTGTGCAAATCAATTGCAGTAATTCACACAATTTCAAACTGTCACAATCTTTGCACCTTCGCAGTGGAAAATCCAATCATCAGGTGAAAATCAAATGCTCAATAAAGCAAATGCATATTAAATGACATCAATTACTGTGGGTACTTTAGCTTTTCAAACACAATTTGCAATAGAATTACACTGAAATTATAGAACAAGCAAAACAATTGAATGTGACCAGCTGAATACCATTTTGTCAATTAAATAAAAAACTTAATTAATGAGAAACTTTATAAAACATTAATAATCCTTTGACTGTCCTGGAAGTCGGGTCAGCATGCTGTAATATAGTTTTGCCACGTATTTTCTTCTAATCTTCCATTTAGGATAGACATTACATAAGAAATAAAACAGATGAGGATTTAAATCATGACGACACCACCACCGAATCTCGTACTATAATGAGCATTTTAAAAAACGTTTTATTTTGAAATTAATTGCCGTGGTTACAGGGTCTCCTGGCATTTTGCCAATCTTGCCACACGCGGCTAAACATTGCAATTTACGTATACGATAATCTTTTAAAGATAACTGTGAAAATATGCGACGGAGCATACGTTTCCTCTGACATTTTCAAACAATTAAGCAAAATTAAAAATAAGCGACTTTGCAAGAACTGTACTCATAATTTAGAAAAATCCTTTGTTTTTTGACAGATGTATCCTTTGTATACAAGAAAGGACGATTCTCAATTATTTGCGTTTCGTTATAGAAAACTCACAATGTAGTTACAATTAATATTTCGGTAATAATAACATCATCATCATCATAAGGTCGTCAGTCCTAAGACTGGTTGGACACGTATCTCCACTCTTTCCTGAGCTAATCTTCGCATTTCCCTAAAACTAGAACAACCCACATCCTTAACTATTTGCGAACAGTAATCTAATCTAGGTCTACCTCTTCCCCTCCTAACTCCTGTTTCTGCCCCTAATATGTCTCTGACTAGACCTTCATGCCTGAGAAGGTGTCCTACCAACCTGTCTCGCCTATTTCTTATTGACTTCCGTAGAGTCCTCTGTTCTCCTATTCTTTCTAATACCTCTTCATTTCTAACCTTTTCTACCCACGTTATCCTCATCATTCGTCTATAACACCACATTTCGAAAGTTTCTAACCTTTTCTTTTCCGCCACGCCCACTGTCCATGTTTCGCACCCGTACAACGCCGCGCTCCAAACATACACTTTCAACAACCTTTTTCGAATTTCTAAATTAACCGTTCGCGAGCATAGAAGTGACTTCTTTTTATAATAACATAATAATTGTAAAATGGTTCTGAAAAAGTTTGTATTAATACAAATGTTTTTCAAAGATAAAACGATTCAAAAGAAGGGCTGTTTTTCGTGTCAATGCCTGGAGCTCCATAGAAATTTATCATGAATATAAATGGCAGTATATGTTAACTTGATAGATCCCTTGACGCCTCTAATGGATTATTACAAAACCCACGCAGGAAAACTGTTTAAGCCGTTTGCGTTCTTGAAAGCGTGGATAACGCCAAAAGTAAGACTCACCTGGAATTCTACTTAGGCATTCCTAAATTCTAGTATAAGGAATCATTAAACTAGCCTAGAGGTCGTCAAAGTTGATCAACACTGACTTGGCTATTATGGTCAATTATAGACCGATTTTGAGTATTATACTTGAAATAAAAACATGAATGTTTTCTTATGAGAAATATTGAAATTATATCAAAATAAATGGGCTATTTGCTAGAATTAATCATAATCGAGTCTTACATTTGCCAAATTGAAAGACTTTTAATACCTACTAGTGAACTTTTATATCTCCAGAAGGAAAACTAATCCTAGGATCGGAAAAACTCCTCCACTCATTTATGTAATAATTTCAAATAGCTAATGTGAATGGATAAATTTACATTACCCTGACTTTTATCTTTAATCGTTTACATTTTATTTTAAGAACTCTTTATTCCGTAATAGTTAATAACAAAAGAAAATTCAAGAGTCAGTATTTGAACTATGCTTTTAAAAATCGAATCCAAAATTTGCAAGGCATTTTGCTTCAATGTTTTATTATTTCTACGGCAAGACTTATATATACATATAAAAGTTAATATCGCTACAGTTTCTCATAAGTGGTGCAATTAATAAGATGTTATTATTACGAAGATAATAAATTACTAAATAAAAACTTACAGTAAGCAGCAGTGTCATCAAGTTTATAGAATTATACTGAAAACACTCCCGAAAACGCGATACCGAACACGCATGAACACAGTTTTTATCATAAATAAACAATTTTTAGCAATAAAACAGTAAATTTAATGTTGTAAACAGCTTTAAATAACAAAACAGTTAGTGTTTCTTCGGAGAGAAAGCACTGAGCTTTGCGTATAGGCAATTAGTTGTACGTAGTAATAATAATAATAATATTCACCCGAGCTTTATACAATAGCAATCGCTATTGAAAAATACTCTTATTTGTGATTAATAAAACTGGTTTAACAATTACAACAGCAATAAATCCCCGATTTGAACACAATACACACCGTTTTGGTCATTTTTATACACTATTTTCCGCGATTACTCACTGCGTGCTTTCGTTTCGACGCCATTCTCGACTTCTAGCTTCGTGACGTTGACATCGCCTGATCACGACGAAGTCAAAGCAAGCTTGGATCACACAAGAAGCATTAAAAGAATTAGATGTAAAGGCAATTATTCCTTTTTACCTTTTTAAAGCGGCAAATTAAAATGAAATCTGCCTTCGTTGACCGTCCATCTGTCTGTATGTCACGTATGATCATTTCGATAACTATTAATCCTATCGATTAAAAATTTCGAACAGTTATTAAGAACGCCTGTTGGCATCTAACCCAGATAAAAAATTTTGCAAAATATTTTTTATTTTCATTGCAAAAGGCTTAGCACAATTTGAAAACTGTATTCAAAAGTTTAATTAAAGGACTTTATTTATTCTTAAGTAGTTTCTAATTCTAAAGAACAATATTTTTCATTCAATAAGGTTTATCTTTTTCCTGTATTATCCGAACGTAGCAATTTTATATTATAAATGTTTCATTCGCGTTCAAGGTGTGTATGCTTTTCTTTCATTTTCTATCACCTTTGCACGTTCTTTCACTCCTGTTTCTGGAGTCCTTCTGTTTGGCCTACATAGCATTTTTTTACGTTTTATTTGGTAAACTCTGCTTTTCTTTAAAATGCGTGTTTCTTATTTACTTTATTAACTAATATAATCATAGATAAAATAACTGTAATAGTAAAAACGTTTTTTATACCTATTTATAATAATTTGTTCCCACGCAAGAGAATATTTTTGTAAGGTAATGTAGTTGCATTTTTCTAAATTCCCTTTTTCAAGTCCGTGAAAACTAATGCCCGGCTTATGTCCTGTAGGGTAATTAGAACGAACGGCATTTGTTCTACATACTTTCAGATCGTGCTAACTTTGTGATGTGCGGCATTTTTCGTCGTAACGACTTTAATCTAGTTAAAATTAATTGCACAACGTATATAAACTTTTATGGAAAAATGCTTTAATGAATAATGCAGCAAATGATACCTGCACAGCGTTATGTTCGATGCAACGGAAATAAAATTCTACAAATTTTTAAAACCTTGTTTCATTCGTTTCGCTGTAGTAAAAAAGACAACTAAATAATTGGCTTACAATGTACTTGTATCAATATGCGTTCGTTTTCGTCTAGTACGTAGTACTATTAAATTGTTTCGCTGAAGTTTTCAATAATATCCAAATTATTAAGTCTTTACAAGATGCCAAACATAGAAAGTTTTCATCATCAACATAAGGTCGTCAGTCCTAAGACTGGTTGGACACGCACCTCCACTCTTTCCTAGCCTGAGCTAATCTTCGTATTTCCCTAAAACTAGAACAACCCACATCCTTAAATATTTGCGAACAGTAATCTAACCATCAACATCATTAAAGACAGTACAACTGTAGGGATAGATGTGCAAGGGCAAAGGATTAGTATGCTTAGCAAAGAGGAGTTTAAATAAAATGGAAGCGATCCTGACAGATCAGTACTGTATGAAAATAAATAAAAGTAAAACTAAAATACTGGTATGCAAGGGAAGAAAAAGTAGGGAAAGAACGAATATAAAGATAGGAGACGAAAAATTAGAAGAAGTGGCTGATTTTAGATAAGTCAGGATGGAAAGAGTAGTAGGGATATAAAGCAGAGAATAGCGCAGGGTCGTGTCGCCTTTAATAAAAAGAAGTCACTTCTATGCTCGCGAACGGTTAATTTAGAAATTCGAAAAAGATTGTTAAAGGTATATGTTTGGAGGACGGCATTGTACGGGTGCGAAACATGGACGGTGGGCGCGGCGGAAAAGAAAAGTTTAGAAGCGTTCGAAATGTGGTGTTATAGGCGGATGATAAGGATATCGTGGGTAGAAAAGGTTAGAAACGAAGAGGTATTGGAAAGAATAGGAGAAGAGAGGACTCTATGGCAGTCAATAAAAAATAGGCGAGATAGGTTGGTAGGACACCTTCTCGGGCATGAAGGTCTAGTCAGAGACATATTAGAGACAGAAACGGGAGTTAAGACGGGTAGAGGTAGACCTAGATTAGATTACTGTTCGCAAATAGTTAAGGATGTGGGATGTTCTAGTTTTAGGGAAATGCGAAGTTTAGCTCAGGATAGGAAAGAGTGGAGGTACGTGTCCAACCAGTCTTAGGACTGACGACCTTATGATGATGATGAATCTAACCTAGATCTACCTCTACCCCTTCTAACTCCAGCTTCTGCCTCTAATATATCTCTGACTAGACCTTCATGCCTGAGAAGGTGTCCTACCAACCTATCTCGCCTATTTTTTATTGAAAGTTTACGTGATATAAAAAATTAAAAAAATTATAACTTCATATTAATCACATTTCAAGAACACTACGTTTAGCTACAAGTGTAATATCGTCAAATCGTTAACGTTTTTTATCAGAATGACCGATATTTGCTACTAGTTTTCGTTGCAATGTTTACTAATAATAAAACCGACAAAAACTGCATCATCAGGGGTTAGCTGGTGCTGTAAAGAAAAAAATTCCGCAACTTCTTCTAACTTCCGGCACGGAACCAATTTTGAATTAATTTGTGGTGGCCTGTGCTGCCAAGGATATATTTCAACCGACATCGGTGTGGCACCGTAACAGTGGGTACTTCTGGTATGAATTACATGGCACTGTGCCATCAGAAATCATACAATTTCTTTAACACGTAAATTAGTTATTCGTATGTCTTGTTCTGTGAAAACGTATTAGTATTGAAATAAAGCTCAGAGTTTTACACTAGATGTTTATTTAATTTCCTAAGGTCTTTGTTTAATAAAATTTGGTATACATCAATCTCATCTCCCTGAAGATATTCCCAATTTTGTGGAAATGCATTTATACCATCGTCCTTTCCATTATACAAAACATACCTCAAAATCCTCAGAAGTCAGATTATTCTTCGTCTCCACACGGTTCCACTTCCGACCCCATGCGAGTTGCAAGTAGTTACTGCTAGTTATGCAGAATCTACTCATCCATTACCATCACGTTACTCAAACCAGGAGGAGATTCACTATGGACAACTTCATTGATGCCAAAAAACGAACAGGAGGTACCGTTTTCGTTTGAAACAATTTTACTTTACGTTCTCTCTCACAGGAACGTAAGGACGTCCTGGCCTTCCATTATCTTTGCAGTCTTCACGGACCTTACTCGAATACTTTCCCTTTGGCAATCTAAAGGTCACTGAAGCTTTAATGGGCCTTTTTTCTCGTGGTACAGTTAGTCCGCATGCTTATTCACAACTAGAACCCATCAGTCAGAAATACTCAACGTGCATACTCATTAGATAAATTATGTTAACTTTTGACTTCCAAATCCTTTTGCCAATAGTGAGTTGCACTTTAACAGTATGCACCCAAGACTCCTCCTTGCGGGCAGCTTTTACAATCACCCAGATGCTCCCTGTTTATCCAAAGTGTATAATGTGGAAACGTTTAATGATTTTCACGATTCCAGATCCGAATATCCCGGAGACGGGAGAGCAGCGAGCGAAATCGTCACACGGAGACGAAGACTGCTGTTACACTCATTGCGGCACCCCCGGTAGAGGGTTGTGCGTGCAATGTCCTGGGGCGACGAACAAGACCCAGCCATCGGAGCCATTCAACGATACCCCAGTGCCAGTAAGGTGTGCGGCAGGTACCGCACCACCGAAGTCCTCGAACTGCAAGGCGACCGCCACCGCAACAACAACAACAACCACCATCAGCACCACCACAACCACAACCACTAGCACCAGCACAACGTCAACAACAAGAGCGGCGACTGCGCACGCGGTCAGCGCAGCAAGAACTCACTTTTGCCATTTTCATCTCGTATGCGCGTGGTGGACTGCGTGTACTATTGTCTTGTTCTCTTATTATTCGCGAACGATCAGCGACGTTCTGCTACAATTGTTGGTTCTGTGCGCGAACTGTGTGCGGACACCCTTATCAAGAATTAAAACTAAATGGAGATCGTGTTCATAGAATTAGGCTTGTTAGACGACTATGTGTTCCGACATCGATATTACTGTTCCATTTTGGCTCGAGCTGGAAGACTTCACTTTTCACTAATTATAATACGAGTACTCAGTTATTTGCCAATTTTAATAAAAAGTTGTTTTAAAGGTGGAATTGACGGGTACTCGAAACAATTGTTACTAAAGGGACGTGACGGATGTGCACGAAGGCATAGAAAAGCCAAACGTAATTGTTTTCTTAAAAATTCGACTTGTAACTGAAATTATAACATGCAATTCGAAATTTCGACTTTCAACTAGAAATTTGAAAAAAAGGAACTGCAAATTTCCACTTGTAACTCGAAATTTACACTCATTTCGTTTGTGTTGTCTTTACCTACCGTAACTTCCATTAGTTTATGGCCTTATCGTTCTTGTTTTAGCCCTACACATTCTATTATTTACGCGGTTGAACCAAATCTAATCTAATCTAGTCTAAAGCAGTTGAATCGCAAACAACAATCGTCATAACAATGAGAGGTTGAAAGTTGTAAGTCGAAATTCAGAGTTGCAAGTTGAAATTTCGGGTTACATACGCCGGAATTTCGAGTTGCAAGTCGATATTTCAAAAAAACAAATGATGTTTAGCCCATAAAAATATTGCCTTGAGTATTACTCTTAATCCACCTACGGTTTACTTGCGATGTACACCTAATATCGTATTTTTATTTATTCGGCCTAGAAGTTAATGAAAAAGTTGCACAAATAGATTATATAATGTACAATACTGTATAAGTAGACATATTATGTAGGTTTATTATGTACAATGATGCTCACGGTGACGGAAGTTTTCTTCGCGTCTTGCAGCTCTTGCCAACGCGGAAAATTGTGAACATTTTAGACAAAATATCTTCATGCACATAGAAATTATAACAATAGGACTGCAATACAAATAAATATAAAAAAAAAAGAGTCAGAAAAATACCGACAAGTCAATTACAATCTCGGTATTGTTGTAGGAATTGACTGGCGCGAGCCAAGTGTACAACTGTTTACATTCTTATTATTCTTTTTTAGCGAGATGGTATTTTTAACTGTAATTACGTAATTATCTATTAATTAGATAGGGATTGGTATTAACTGACTCTGGTTGATTGTAATGGCTGTTGCAAGGTATATAGATATAAATGAAGTAAAGTATAAAGATATTATTGTTGATGTTGACGATATACCGTTCATTTTGATTGATTTATTTTGATATAGCGATGTTTAAGTCGGTCGCAATATTTGTTAAAAGAAAATTGTGAATGGTCGTCGGGGAATCAGTCCGTTATACAGTGGCAGTATTGTAAAAGAAAAATCAACGATTTTAACTGCTTCACGAAATGTTAAAATTGCGACTTTTAACGTTTCTGTTTCGCCGAAAATTAATTTCAAAGTACTTGCACGCATCCGCGCCGTGACCGTGTTGGATTCGTAACGAAGAAAGAAACATGCTGAGTATTTTTTTCACGGATGCTGCACGGTCGCGGCACGAATGTATGTAAATTAGCCTTTATTCGTGCCGCATTGGAACAGCCTTAACCGGCCGGTTTTTGTGGTAACTTTTGCGGGTGAGTCTCTTTTTGGACTGTTCATTTAACAATCGCGTATTTTCAATACAAAACAACAACAAAAAGGGGCGGGTGGTGTTCCATATTAAAATCACTTTTGGAATTGTCAACTGCCATATGTTTCTGGTCATAAACCACAATTTATTATTTTAAATTGAGTTAGAGCAACACCAATAATGAAATGTCTTGAAAATTGTATGTTCTATAAAAACCAAAATTTTAGAGCTTGGTGCACTTTAAATTAAAAAAGCGTATGACAATAATTGAATTGGTACCGACTTAACTACTTAATTATAAAAAAATATATTAAACCATATTTTACATTAAAATTTAAAGTATTGCTGCTTCTTTAAACAAATAAAGATATTTAATCAATTGAAATTTAAGTGGAACACCAGCCTAATACCTCCACACAAACTAACAAATAGTAAATACTTATCAAAAGCTAATTTACCTACAAAAACAAACTTTTCGAATGACGCTCAAGTCCATCTAATTGCCATTTGATTTTGCGCAACGTAGAAGTAAGATAGGTGACGTAGCATTAAAACTAAACAAAATTAAAAATTTACTATATTATAAGCACATAAATTTGTACTAAATTAACAATTTTTTGGTTTTGTATACGCAAAAATTGAGAAAAAGGCGGTGAAGAACAACGGAAGGTTAAGATTTTGTAAGCTTACAGAAGCACTTATTAAGAACTGGACTAAACTACACATACATACGTAGAAATTTTAACTTCAACCGAGCACCATACATCCAAACACTTGTTTCAGTTCAGTGGAAAGTTTCTGACTGCCAAATCGTCATCTCTTCAGTGCTTAGTTTTAGTGGTTATTTCAGAGGAAAAATAACAAAGAAAAAACACAATATCTTCATATCAATCGCAAACTCAAACGTTTATATTTTCTATTTATTAATTGTTTATTGTATTCGACAAAATAGTTATTGCAATGTATTTGGAACTAGTTCACGCAACGATACACTAGAAATCATTTTTGCTTTTTGTAAAAATTTATACTGAAGATGTCAGTCTCAGTTGTGACGAAACGTCTACACATAACGGTTCATTTAAACCACCACTCCAACCAAAATCATAATTGTATTAGTTTTAATGCTGTTTTTCGGTAATTTTATTAAATTACTTTCAGTAAATATTCGTATGGATTTTGACTTACAGTTACGTAGATTCCTTACTTTATATAGAATATGAAAACTAGCTACTAATTTAAGATTGAAAAAAAAAACATTACTTAGTTTCAAATTATAGAAGTAATATTACTTGTAGACTGTAACATTATTATCTATTAAATTCATATAAATAAATAACAAAAACCACGATAGAATCCAAACCTCTTGTTAAAATCAAATGCAGATATCATTGCGTGAACTTTTAATTCTTTATAGTAAAGCACAATGCACTCAAAGCACCCAAAAATAGTAGATACTACAGTCAAGAACGTTTGTTCAACGTAAACAAGCAGTTCGTGGACAACCCCACTAAATTCAACGTAAAATTGAATTAGCTCAAACAATTTCACGATGTTCCAAAAACATTGCAGTCGATCAGGTGTGGAGTCTGTTAAAGTTAAAGGTAAAGGTGCAAATAGTATAAATTAAGAAAACATAAGAGGATGATGTTCCTTAATTGTTAATTTAATTCAGGGTAAAATTTTTGTGTGTTACTTATTACTCACATACTTATTATGTTTTAATGTTTTCAAATTGTATTACGGCAATGTTACGGTGAAACGACGATAGGTACTAAAACTGCTCCTTATTTTTCAATGAGAAAGTTTGATGTACTAGAAAACAATAACATCAAAATACTCAGTAAGAAAAGTACAATAACACTTGTAATATAATCAAATGGCTATATAAGAATATTTATTACTTAAAAAACAAAAACAAATACAATTACAATACCTATTACTACAATTGTAATCTATTACACAATGTTTACGTTTAACATTTGGTTTTGTATCCTAGTACATCAAACTCCTTACCAAAAAGTGATCATTATTCATGCATTAATGATAAATTAAAATCCTTTCAAAGAAGCTGAAACAGAGGTTAAAAAAAATTGAAAACTTTTGTTTTAAAGTAATTAATTTTTCTTGTTTATTATTCCGTGTCCATCACACAACCTCCAATTTTATCCAACCAAGAAAGCAGGGTACACCTAATTAGTCTCATAAATAATACATTACTTACATTAATTTCTTTGAAAGGTTTTCATCACTACAAATAATCAAAAACTTACTTAATACATTTCTTAATTCTCCAAACAAAAAAATCAAAAACTTGGCGTTGTAATTTAGGGTATGTTAGTCAGTGATTCTTGATACGCAAGCCTAAAATATGAGACTTCTAAGTATATAAATATTAATTTGTTAAATAATTTACTCATTGTATAGCTAACATCCAACAAACAAGAATTATTTTCTTTATAAAAAGTTAACGCTTTTTATTAGTTATCGTTTTAAAAATTTAAAGGATCCTGCTAGATACTGACGGAAAATTGATTTTTGTCAAACCCATTAAGACTTTGGATTCTGATAGTTCTCGAAATGTTGATCAAAAGTCTCTTAAACTTACATTCTTCCTCCTAAAGGATGTTTGGGAGATATGTCAAAATGCTACGAGACAAATAAAAATTTGGAAGAACGTTCCTCATTCAATTCTAAAACTCCTGTAAAAATTACAAATCGATTCACTAAACCGTTAAAAAGTTATTGAAATTTTAAAAAATTGTAATTTTACACGTCATTTTATGGAGATTCGTTAACCGAACAGATTAAATTTATTTTTATTAACAGAAAAAAAGCTACCAGAAATTTCAAACTTTTATAATAAGTAACTTGAACTCTGGAGAATCACTTTAGCGTAAGGTTATTCAAATTCACTAAATGGTTATCGAGGAAAAAATGAAAAATTAGTTGAAAATCTCGTTTTTACTTGATAATACAATGATAATATTTATAATTGTCTGAAATAAATGCAATTTTAAAGTTTTAATTATTATTTGAACATATTAAAAAGTTTTACGCTCATTATTAATAAAGATTGAAACTAAATATTTTTTTATTTCGAAGTTGAAATCAAAGCATATTCACTGCCAAAAGTCAGTTAAAAAATTTCCATATTATTCGTTATTTCTTATTTTATTCAAAGTCTTTGGTCAAATACCAAATTTTCTCTCAAACCGTATACTTTTTTTTTGGTATAGATAGTATTTATTTATCTCACGATACGCTGCAAGACCTAATTAATCACGAATTTCTAATTTTATTACTCTTATCTCCGATTGTACCTCCCAAGCATCCTTAAGCACTTTCAAAATACATTTATACTTACTATACGTTCACACGTTTCAATTAGAAAATCTAAACGATCTAGCGGGATTCTTTGTCATATAGAAGAAGTAACCAAGACTACAGTCCATTACAATTTTATTTTTCATATGTAGAAATAAACAATAATTTAAGTTTCTTCTAATTTTCGAATTTAATATTGTTAGAAGTCTCATTTTTTACTTGTCCTTTTGGCATTTTTATAAAAAAAAATTACTGATGGACTACAGAATTCACGCCGAGAATATGCAACATGTGCATTCGACATCAAAATCATGTGAATAGTGTTTGTGTACGTATGTTTTAGTAAACAAAAAAAAAATCAAAACGTATATATTGAAACATATATTATTATCATTATAATATATTGGAAACCGACTCTATGTAGATGAGTTCTTAGAAAATCGTCCGCGAAGCGTATTGACACTAGGGGTCAAAACTGTTGTAGTTGTGTTTTGGTAGAGGTATTTTACAGAACGCTTCGTAAGCGTGTACTTCGAGACGCCATCACTGTTGATATTTTCTTTTCCAAACTCTAATTTCATAGGTCAAAATCTAATAGATTTAACTCTGGGCAAATTTTCATCGATTTGCCGAAGGAGACGTACAATAACTGTAGTCGATGGTAATGATTTTAATGCTCAAGACAAACTTGAGGACTAATGTTACCTAGATGTCCATTATAACAAACGATTCCTTGTTTCTGTTTGTGCGCTTGTATAAATAAAACTATCAAATTTAAATACCTTACAAAAAGTCTCGAATAACACGTTTGCTTCTAATTTATAAACGTAATAGGAAATGTGACGTTTTTTCATAAAAATACTGTCCAACAGTTTTTATTAGCGTATTATATATATATATATATATAATATATTAAACGACCATGGCAAATATCTGATCACTTACGGTTTACCCATCAATGCCTAATATAGGTGATATGTCTTAAAAATCGGGTTTTTCTGAATAACGAAACTTATGCTTAGCATGATTTGTATGCAATACATCTACAGGAAAATAACCTCCGCAATATCCTTTTGTATTTATGAAAGAAAACTGATCAGAGAATATGCAAAAAAAGGAGCCTTTTTGGGGTTGCTTAAGAAATGAGTTTGTTGGACCTATTAATGTTATTATTACTGAAAATGAAGACTCTAATAAAGGAATAAATAAATTAGAAAGAGACTATGGTAACCAGGGTGGGTCTCTTTTTAGTTTATTTATTATTACTAGTGGTTGACTTCTTGACCATATCAACTGATAATATTATGGATTTCTTTAGTTCAAATATCGAAAGCACTCACTGCATTAATAATAGAATATAGTACTTCTGATTTAATACGATTTATAAGTAAGTACATTGTTTTTCCATCAATTAAACACATTAATGACCATGTTAACAAATAATACCAAATCAGAAATAAGTTAACCATATTATAATTTTACATAGAGTCGATAGGCTTATTTTGTAAAAATTGAAAATATTTATTGACTCCTCCAGTTTTTGTAACAATTTATGTGTTATCCAAAATGTAAGTACATCGATAATATAACATTTAATTATGGAACCATCATTATATAACATTTGCACCATTAAAACGAACGAAAATGCAAAGTTATTTAAAAATAATGTTACAGAAAAAGGACCAAATTAATTTAATTCATAAATAAATGCGATAACAATATGCGTATGTGGATTATAATGAGAAAGATGTGCAGGGATCAAATTGTAATTTGACTCGTTTGTTACTTAAGAAAATATTTTTCGTCCGGTTTTGTTTCCCAATTTTTCCCAGTGCTTTCCCTAACACTTTTTAACTCACATAAAAATTCAAATGGAAACAATGCAAAATGCCTAGTTAAATTACTGTAAGTCGTTTCAAGTAGGTTAAAATCTAAACTACTATTATCTACTTATATATAGACACTAATAAAATAATAACGATAGGAAAATAATAAAAAAGAAAAGTTAATAAGCATGCACTGTAGATCTTGTTTAATTACTGTAGAACATGAAATAGACTGATAGGTATATAAACACCTACGGATTTGTGAATAAGAAACTGTCCAATAATAATTTCCAAAAGTAGTAGGTCATCACCTAATTTGTGATAGTTAATTTAATGCATAGTCTACTTAACTAAAGTAATAAGAAAATTGAATTCATTATAGTGATTTAGACAGTGTGTATTACTGAAAGTAAAAGTGATAAAAAGAAAACATTTAATTTATAAAATTCTTCATCTTTGTTGAAACAGAAATATCATTAGTTTTGCTTGAATATTTATGGAATAAGATTAAAACATTTCTAGTTTATTATATTATTTTTTAATAATGTTACTTAATGGGAATTACATTTAATTCGAACATATGAAGCACGCGGCTTCTTTAGAAGTTTCACATTAAAAACAATGTCATAATAAATTAATTAATGAATCGGTTTTTGGACAGTTGATTCGTTTAGTAACTGATCTACGCTGCATAGTTTAAACTTGTTGTGTTATCTAAATATTTAAAGTCATTGTTGCTAGCATTGTTGTTTAATATAGACACAGGGAATGTATTTGATTAAAAAGTCATTTATTCGGTTACATGAGCCATTTGGTTATATAACCATGTTCTTTCTTCTTGGATTTTCGTCAGAAGAAGCTGTTCACGATGACTTTTTAAACTGTTGTACATTATTTAAGTATCGTAGTCAACAACACTCACTAATATGCACAAACCGTTATGTTACACAGCAATTTATTAAATATTCCTTAAAAATAATCAGTTAGTTAACGATAAACATGACCACTCACCATATTTTAGCACTAAATTAGTCCACAGTTTCTTCATAATTTGATGTTAGACGCTCGTTTTGTATAACGCCTATCTACCATTGAAATACTTGAATTACTACGTTATTGTTGGCAATTTCGTTACTACTACATACTAATAATGCAAGCCTATTGTTTACGTATATGATAAGTTTATCTGGTAAAGCAAAAAACATACTTTATTAAATTAAAGCTGTAACTATAGTGAAATAAGTGTTAGATGATTTCGTTTGTTGTTAGCTTTTCTAGCGAAATGTATTTTTAAAAACGTTGTGTGCATTATTGACTGTGAGCCTTTTTATAGTAGTGTTTAACAGTTGTTATAAATGTAAATATACAGTACATAGATTATATATATACATATATATAATATATTAGGAGTAACGATGAATGTACACCATACATTATTATAGTATCTGTTTAATACCTAATGATTGTGAACCGTCTCGTCACGGATGGTAGAGGGTTTTTTGTATGTACAAAAATTGCAAACCTCATTTCCGTAAAAATATTACTCAGTTCGGTAGTAGTTCGGACACCAAACAACTTCCCGGTGATCAGATATTTGCATGCGATGGTTCACTTGAGAATTAATAATAATAAACATTAAAAAAGGTTTTTTATAAAAGCCTTTTTAAGTACCTAACCGTAGGATTTGTTGTAAAAACGTCACCTGGACATATTGTAGGAAGTTTTGTTGAACATCAAGGAAATTTATATAAGGTTAATATTATAATAATAAGTCCAATTGAGTTAAGGTTGAAGTTTTTTTATTAGTGAAAGTATTATAATATTGAAAATGAGAAATAAAAAATTTAA